GAATTGTGACAATAAGGAGGATATTCGACTGAGAGAGATGTCTGAAATTAGAAAGTTCTTATTAAATGGAGGGAGCTTCATGAAAGAATTAGGAAGAAAACTGTTACTGGGATTAGATAAGCATTTGGCAAAAACCACAGTAATAAAGCACATTTGACACACAGTCATGTTCAAAGTCTGGCTGGGATGTCACAGGATGTGTTTGTTTATTGAATGCCTGCGCTGACAGACATGATTTTAAAGTATTGTTTAAAATCTGCTGTGCCTAAGGGTCAGCACTGGTCAGGCACTTCTTGTTATTCCATGGAAACCCACTGCTTTTGGGATGGGGACAAAGCAGAAGCCCACCTCTGTGTGGAACAGGCAGCCAGCCAGGGGAAAGGTAAAATCCATGTCTCTGTTTCCCAACGATCTAAAGTTTCAAGGCATGTCAGAAGGAGTGGGGTTAATATATGCACCGAGGGCTGAGTTTTTTGACCCATATATAGATTATACCCACAGATGGGTGAATCTGGTGCAAAGACTGCAGTTCACGTACACCAGACATTTTGGTTTTGTCTATTCTGTTCAGTGGAGGAAGGCCCAAGAGTAGGCTAAAATATATGTTTTCCTTAACCTGTGCTTTTGTCTGCCTTGCCAGCAAGAAGGCAGCTGTAGTCCAGCACTAGCTACATTCTCTATGACTTTGCACAATATTGTATCAGGCTCCTCTAGAAACAAGCTTGGATTAATTTCTGTCTTACACTGGCTATGCAAAACATACAGCTTCATACATGATACACGTACAGTGATACATGCTAGCGAGCAAGCCCAGGAATACCTGTGTCCTTCCCATCCACAGACAGGTGTGCATATGGACCCATGCCAAGAGGTAGCGTCAGCATAAGCTTTCTTCAATATAATGCTCCACAACTTCCACAAAGCCTAGAGCTCTATATAGGTGACTTTGGGCTTGCACTAAATTCAGGTCCCTGCCTGTGGTCTAAACGTTTCCTCTAAACTTTATTTAATGGCTAATCACCTGATGATTTCCCTGAATGGAGATCTAACGTTGGTTGTCACTGCTTGGGTGCAGCCTCATCACAACATACAGCTGTGCAGCACAGCTAGAAATGGGCAATCCCCTGCACTAACTTCCTTCCCACTTTTCACTGAACAGACTGAAACATTTTTCCTTTTCTCTGAACAGAGGAGAGGCAGGACGCAATGTGAATCTGTTGCTGTTCTGTCTTTTCATGAACGGCAGGATGCTAATCCCTCTCCTAGTAAATATTCCTGTGGCTTGATCCTGCAAGGCACTGAGCAATCCCTGCTCTTCCCCACACCAGCACCACCTTCCTTCATGATCCAGTAAGGGTTTAAGAATAAGCACTTACATCAGTGGACTCATTCAGTGATCGAAGTTCATGTAAGACTATGCTTATGTGATCACGCAGTGCTAAGCAAGGTTCAAACCAAGATGCTGCTTTGTACTTCTGCCTAGAAACCTGCAGGACTGAAGCAGTGCAAATTACAGAGCAACTTCCCCATCCATGCTCAAGATTTATATGGCTTGCTTTCCTCTTCTTAAATCTCTCCTAACAAAGCTTTGTTCAAAGATGATTAACAGATGTTGTCATTAAACAGTTGGTACTTGCCAACAAATAACACATGGGTCTGCTTGAGAAACAGTGCTGTTTCCACAGCTTTCCCCAAGAAGAGATACTTGTGGTAATTGGTAAGGCCTGTGAGAATATGACATTTTAAAGTATCTTCTACCATACATAATTTCCTAAGAGAACGCTGGTTTCCTGAGAATTTGTTTATATTGGTCATACGAAATCATTTGGATAAACACACATGATACAGAATAGACAATTAAGCCCATTATGATTAAAGGAATAAGCGGTGATCTTTTTAGATAACAATGAATTTGGCGAGCAAAGACTTATTTGTAACAAAAGTAAACAAAAAAACAGCACTAAATAATAGATTGCCACGTATCTTAATTGAAGACATAAAATAAAATTATTAACTGATATGCAGAAATGGTTCTCAAAGGCTAGAAGGTGACCAACAAAAGGACAGGATTTTACTATCGATTGCAAGATAAGCTGAAATATACAGACAGCAATCCCCAACCAAAGAAAAATTGGGGAAAAGGATATGTACAATGGACCTGGCTGGAATATACAAGCACAGAACCACTTCTGTGTTTACCTACCCGGTACACACTGAAATCTAAAACCTAGGAGCCAGGCCTTCTGTTCGCAATTTGGAAAAGCAAACTGGGGAGATGGCAACACACCCTGTGTCCAGGGGGATCTTTTAATAGTTATGACCAGAAATGTTTTGAAGATGGTAACCTAGATATTGATGAAACTCCTGGCAATTTATTGTTAATGAAAAGGTAATTTCTTTTTTCTGGGAGGTGGAAAGGAATGAGCATTCAGAAGGTTTTCAGAAACTATTTAAAAGCAATCTGAGTCTTTTTCAATGCTCAAAGCAGGTCTCTCAACACATAAATTGTAAATATCATTTTCATATAGGTTTCAAATAAATGACAGATGTAGTACATTTTTACTACATTTTAAATTCAGCATTTTAGAGGTTGACACTGAAATCCTTTCTTTTCTTTTCTCTTTTCCATGGACCTGTTGTTAAAAGCATGACTGCTCTGCCAGAAAGTCCATGTTTTGAAAGGCTTTTATTCCTTTTTTATTCCTTTTGTTCTACTGTATGACTGCACACTGCAAAATGCACTGATTAAATCGGTGCCATTTTATAGCTATCATTTATGTCTCATCCAAACCTGCCATAGTCAGTAAGAATATTCCCACTGGCTTTACTAAGCTTCAAATCAGGGTTTTATTTGGGATTTCGCTTTAGCTTCAATTCATGTCTCAATTCACTGTGTACTTCAAGCAAGCAAGGAATAGTCAATGTTGTCATGTTCCACTTCGACAAAACAATGGTCAGATGTACTTGACAGGTTTTAAGTTTAGGAAATATAACACACTCGCAGGCTGTACAATTAGAAACCCCTTCTTACAGACATGCAGCAAAAGGAAATCTGACATTTGTTTATTTCTTTAACATTCTATTAAAGCAAAGAAGCTCTATAATGAGATTACTCCATTTTACCTCTTAATTGTATCCAGATATGCAAAACAGATTTAGTGCTAGTGGCTTGTGTACAGTACAATATTTTAAAGCTAATTATGAAACAGCATTGCTATTGTCACACAATGAAATACTTATTCTTACTGTTGCGAATCAAGACCATTTTCTAAAATTAAGTGTAATTACCTTTTTGACTGGATATAAACCCTACTAAATTCTGAAACAGCTAGTTATATAAATATAATTCTTTTAAATCTAGGATGATATCAGCATAAAATATTTTAATTAAATAGATTGAAAAAAAAGGGGAAAAAAGTAGCATTAAGTAGTTTTCCATTATTAAAGCCAGCTGTAAGTGAAGTCTTGAAAGTATTCAAGTTTTGATTTTTGAACACCTGAAATCTGCCATTGTTCATGTCAGCATGCATACACATCCTCCCAAAACAGTGTATTAATAGTTTAATTGTTCATTGAAGAGTAGTTAGCACCTGGCTTTTGTTTGTATTATTCCATATAGAGAGGAAAGCATATTAAAGTATTTACCCTCACAAATCCCCAGGGCCCAAAAGATCTAGCAGTCTTTTCTTTGCTTATGTATATAATACAATAAACAATAAAAAAGTTAAGCAAATAGTTTTAAAATAACATTGTATCAAAGTTCTTCTGTTCAAAAACATTGGTGAGTAGATGGTGAAAATCTTTACTTGATCTGTTAGTCGCAATTGTTTAGTAATTTTTAAAAATACTGTCCCTATGTTATAATACCTCATGTATCTTGATCATACAGCTTGTCAACACAAATTAGATTTCAGGTATTTATAACCTGGTACTGCAAACTAAATCTAACATTTTGCACACATTTTGAAATATATGTTTAAGCTCAGTTTTCCTGAACAAATATTCATAATAGGAACAACTGAAGTCTTGACTACAGACTAATCACAGCTTGTTTGCAAGTCTTACTTGAATATGGGATACCTTTTCGCACTCTCCACTTAGTGGAAAAGGGACAACGAAGAGGCACTTGTTTATTTCAGCTGAATGAAGCAGCAGTTTAAAACTTACCTGAGTTCCAGCCATCTTAATAAGCATTATTTTTCAACACTATTATACCTGTATTTCATATACTTGCACATCCAAACCAAATTATATTCACACACACTATGGTAAGTAAAACAGTTACATTTTGATGAGCTGAAATGAATCAGAACTTCCAGAAAAGATAAACCAATAATATCAAGTATTTAGAAGGAAACATCTTATTCCTTATTGACTTACTGTAGTAAGGACTTAACTACATATTAAATTGCCGGTATTTTGGTGGAAGTTAAGTTAGATTCTGATGCTGATTCTACATTTGATGACATATTATCCGAGTAATTTCATGGATAAATATTGCAGAATGCATATCTGAAACTATCAAGAAATTATATTTAACCAGCAGCTCACCACTAAAAAAAAAATACTTCATGTGTTTTTTCAAGAATATATACTTTCAGAAGCCAACTCTGTTTGGATCATCCTTCAATATCATTATGCAACCAATAAATATTTATGTTAATTAGCACAGTCTGTAAGGACATTAATTTTCTATTTATTTGAAGAGCCCACATTATCTAGGAAGGCTCTTCCAGTATTTCTGTGATCTCGATTTCATTGCAGATATTATTCACTCTAAATTTAAGTCTTTTATCTGCACACCAAGTGTTAAATTATATTGGGTTACTGTCTGTATCATTCTATTTTTACTGCAGCTCTTCACAGATTAAGATTCGAATCCTTTGAATTTAGTAGGATTTTGACGGTAATTCAAGCAGTGCAAGTCCTAGCTCTGTCCACCAAATTCTGACATTTACGAATTTCTAAGTTCTGTATGTGCCCATAGAAACTGTATTTACCTGCTGTGTGAATCCTGTCACCGGATCCTTGACAGCCATCCTCATCATCACAATCCCCACTTGACTCCATCTCTTCACTTCTTCCACCCCCACTGCCAGCATCTCGGGAAGCCCATCTTTCCAGTTTTAATTTTGCCTTCTCAGCATCCAGCTAAAATAGAAGAAGCGAAAAACCAACAATAGTCAGAATACTTACACAGTTCCTACCTCTGGTGACCAAGCTGGGTTTATAAAGCAACAAGCACTTTCTTACTCACTTTCAAGAACTGGTCCTCAAGTTGGAGGTTTTTTCTGGCAGTGACCTCCAAATATTTTGGAGTAACAGACTATACCATCAAATTTTCTCCACCACAGATGACCAGGGACACTTATCATCAAACTTTTAATTGAAAACACCACATCTACCAGTATCATCATAGGGAGTTCTGGTCCTGCAGCTTTTCCTCTTGCAAACCTCAGTTTGGAGATCACTGGTTAATGATGGTACAATCTGCCAGCTGTCTGAGTACTTACTTTACAATTGAAGACCACAATATACTTCTCAACCCTTTGAGGAGTTGAGGGTATTTGCTACTTTTCATTATGGGCTTGGTCACTTGGAAACCTTGGTCCCTGGATATGATTTTTAAGATGGTGTCATTTAAGATGCTTGTACCAACTGCAAGTTGTTCATTAAATTTCATTTGAAATACATTTCTTGGACTAAGTATAGAATAAGAAAGCCTTTTCTAAAATAAATCTAAATGTATCATACTAGGTCACACTTGCTATAGCAACATATTTACTCCCTAAACTCATCTTTTTGACCTTTAGATAAGTCTTTCTCCTTCTGTCACCATGAGCAGTTGCCTACTATTAGTGCTGTGGGAATAAATGATTTTTCAGTTCACTGGTAGTTCCAAAAAATGAAAAATACCGTTTCATTTTCAGTGCATCTAAACCCAGCCTATCCAGGGAACAACAAGAGCAGCACTATTTGGGAAGAAATTAAGTAACTGGCTTAGACTAATACGTTCTGTTATAAGGCATTCGTCAAGGAAGAATGATTGAGGAGAAACTTGAACCTGTCCCCCACACCTGAGAGTAGCACCTACTCGCTGAGCTACATGGCACGTCTCCTGTTGGAGCTGTGCCATTTTTGTACAACATTTCAGAACTAAGGTGCTTCACGTTCCTTGGTAGCCACCCTCCTCAACAGCTTGTATTTGTTGTTGCTAGTGCAAAGGACGCTTCAGGGTATTAGAGAAGGTGGGAGAGCTTCTGCAGAGAAAAGCCCCAACAGCTCAGCTTCCCCTACAGCCCAGTGACAGGGAAATACCCTGACTCGGAGTGGATTTTTTCACAACCTGGTTAAGTTGCCCTGGTTACTATCGAGTTTCCATTCCCCCATACCTATCACCCCCATTTTGTGAGTGACTACCAATTTCTTTTCTGAATCTTGTTGGAAAATTACATTGGGGGTGTTGGTTTTGTTTTTAGGGATGGAAAGAGCCATTCCAGTATTTCTGATCACTTCCTTCATGTAGCTGAAACTCAACCTACAACGCATATGAACATTGTTTTGAAAGGCAGCACCTTGTTTGTCTCCTTTTCAGAGTTACAAAAACCTTGTTCATGTTAGCTTTGTTTGTATGGTATGACAAGGTATGATTAGGACCTATTATTCCTGTTATGTGGAAATATTTTAACCAAATGGAAAGACTTTGCAATGCTTCTCAAAGTTGGTCAGATTCTGGATCTATCCAATACCCTTCATCACAAGTATCTTCCCCCCAAAGTATTGCAGATCCATTTCAGGCTTTGTGATCTGCTTTATTCCAGAGGACTGTAATTATTCTTGGTAATGAGCGAAATGTATTTTGAAATGTAGCTACTTTGAAGATTCAAACACATTTCACACTGAAAAGGAGGTGGGCTGGGAGCTGGGGGAGGAACTGGAGAAGAGGCCTAATACAACTGTATTAACTGGGTTGAAAGGATGATGATGGATGCCACAATTTCTCTGTAGTGGGAAGCTTTGTGTGATAGTCTCCTTCTTCTTCAGATACTGTGAGCTGCCATCCTCCACTCCGGGGCTGACAAATGCTTGGATCAGTGCAGCAGAGATCCTGTTCTACGGAACAACAGATGCCAACTTCTATATGGCAGAACTCAGGAAATTTTTCACCCTTTCACTGAAAAGATCTGTTTGCTCATTCTGAAGACACAAATAACTTCACACTGCAGTGGGAAGATCAGTAAGTGGGAAGAGAGGGTATGGACTCTAGTGGGGAAGCGCATTAAACACTCTCTAATTGTTACTGCATGACTGTTTTTTATAAACAAGTTGCTTAATGTTGAGCCTCATTATTCACAGGCATAAAGACTGATGTCATGGCAATACAAAACAACATTTTGTTAAACAATTGGAAAAAATTGCCTATGAGGGATTAAGATAAGTCAGTTCTTTCACAGATTTATTGTGTCCTGACCATATTAGAGAAGACTCATTCATTCTTAGTTATAATCCTTCAGAATGAAAAGAAATGGCTAAGTGGTGAACAGAATGGACGCAAAATTTAATAAAGGCTTTTAATGATTGTTTGCCAGTCAAGGCAGAAATGTTTACTGCCTGTTAAGGTACTCCTTCTTTTCAAAAATTTTATTTCATTCAGTGCCCGTGGCTCAATCCTGACCTCTGCTCAAAACAAGTAAATACTTGAACCAAATGTGTACCACTTTCTTGGAAAAAGACCAAGAAACAAGCTCAGCTTTTCAACATGGTGCACTGCAGCATTTTACAGACTTCTGGGTTCTTAGTGCCGTCACTACAAAAAGACATTAGCTGTAGGCCAGATCTGCATCTCCTGCCCATATTAATGAAGGCATACCCAGCTCTTTCTTGGCTTGCCAGTAGAAAGGGCCATCAGATTACACAGAACCCTTATTTACAAGCTCAACATTACCACTTAAGGTCAACTCAGGTGCGATCTACCAACCCTCTTCACCTTGTATACCCTTTCCCAACCTCTTCCAATGACTTTTCCGTCTGTGGCTACCATTCACCTAGAACGATGGACCAGAGCCCAACTTTGTGCAGAGATAATGGTTTATCTATAAATAAACCCATTCCAGGAGATGAAATAGCGTAGCCACTTTAGTGAGGAGCTCCACCCACACCATGCAGCCCTGTTGAGAAGGCAATGTCACCATTGCGTAGTGACTTGTGATCTAGCACCCTTCTCTTTTCCAAATTTTGAAGGAGCACTTGTCCTTTGGCCACCGCCACATGACTTTAGTGAGATCACTGTTTTAGTGCGATAGCAAAGCGTACGCCAGCATTTCTCCATCTCCTTTTTTTCATAGAATCATAGAAACCTTTCTCAAAGGCCTGAGACTGCACTGAAATAGCACAGACTGCACCAGAATGGACTAGGATGGTGGAGCTTTAGAAGAAGATCATAATGAAAGACATTAACCTTCACTTTTTATTAAGCTCTGCTAGGTCCAGAAGATGGGGGTGGACAGAGAACGCCCATAATGCGTTGTGACTAGGGGACTGAGAGGTCTCCAACAGAGGAGCTGGAGGTCATATGAAGGTTCAAGGCATCTTCAGAGACAGCCATGATCTGTTAAAAAGCCTGAACTACTATCCTAGCTGCTGCCACCAAACACTAAAATTTTCTGCTTCCTCACAGATGGCTGTAGAGAGAATCAGAGTCCCTTGCCCATATTTAACAATGAAGATCAGAGATTGGAGTCAGTCATGGCATTTCTATTATTGCTTAAAACCCACTCTTAAACAAGCCTTATTTTGCTGACTTATACTCCGCCTGCTGATGCATAATGCCATCCAGCCATCTCTGGCAACGCTGCACAACAGTTCCAGCCTGGGAGTGCAGTGTCTTGATGCTGAGAATTGATGTTTTGGTTAAACAATTGCAATGGATTTCACGCTGAGCACTGGAGCTTATACCTTTACCTTCACAAAGCAGAAGATACCTGCTGCCTAAGATTCCAGAAAATAGTGGAATCTTAACAGCTTAAAAATTAAGTCTTCAAATTTTTTCCACATCTGAAAGACAATTTTTTTTATTCATTAAAAGGTTATATAAATAGATAAATAAGATTAGTACAGCCCAACTGAAAACTGACACAAATCAGGAATTTTCCCAACTGCAATAGGCTTTGGATCAGGTTCATAAACATCTAAAGGGTTTTTGAGAAACTATACAGTCTTTCTGTGGGAAAGCTTTAGTATCTGTATCTGATTCAGCTGAAAGGTAAAAATCACATATTACTATTCAGCTCTGAGTCAGATACAGATGACTATCCTCATGCATTTTATTTATTGCAGCAAAGGTGCCAACCTTAAGTGACATTAAAAAAGTTCTGCTGATGTATGGTTTTACAGAGAAGAAAGAAGTCATATGAGAATGGTTGTGTCTTTCTCCTCTATTAATACTTGATGATGTAGCACATGCATTCCCGGTCACATAAGAGTCTTTCAAACTTCAGAGGCTTCAAAGAGTATTGTGACACACAACCCCTGAGCTTTCTATGATGAGTCTAACCCTAATTCTCACTCTGACCACAGATGAGTTAGTATATAAATTTATTCTCATGTTTTTTTAAGAAGACATGTTCCAATTGAATACTTCCACACATTAATTAAATAATAACTGTTTAGCTCCATGAAAACTATTTGATAAAAGTGCCAGTTTCAATCCATTTCATTGATTAGTCTATTTTCTGAGGGGTCATATATGCATGTATATCTGAGGGGATGACTCCAAGCTGTAGGATAATAAACTAATCTCATCAGAAAATAGGTTTTAAAATTATATTTTGCACCACAGTTTCAGGCTTTTCAGGTCAGTGAACACAATAATGAAAATCTAAGAGAATGCACTTTTTGAATAAAGCCACTTAAAAGTTGTGTGCTTGGAATATTCAGAGACGAATCCCATACAATAATTGTTTCCTGAGGGATTTGTTAATTAGTTTTCTATATGACGGATTTCAGTGTGAATGCTTTTCCTCTCTGAAAAGACAGCTTTGAGGTGAAATCTGACTTCTGTCCACTCATCATGTGAGCACATGTATCTTAGTTGCTGGTGTTTTCACAGTGATCAAAAAATGGCTGATTATATACTGCATTTAGAAATTGTA